TAATGCTCACATTACAGCTTAGCGGTGGAAATAAATAAGATATCAGTACTTCGCTGGATGGACTCTTTCACAAGGAAACGAAAAGCTAAGATTAAGCTATTATTATCAAATTATTTTTCCTTATTAAATTATTTAAATTATCGTGTCATCAAACTTGTAGACCAAGTTTCAACATCCAAAATCGAAGACGAACGTAAATCCAGGACATAGAGGATCTAACAACGAAGCTGAAATGGAACTGGGACATATTGTGAGACTTAGTGATGACAAGCTGAGATGAGCAAGGTGACGCCCGAATAATGGGGCCAAGAGGTGGCTTCAGAAAAGTGAGACATCCTGCAATGAGATGGGTAGACATTGTCAAAGTCGTAAATGGATGAGACGAGTACAGCATCGTAGTAGATGGTACAAATTATGGGAGCCCTACCTATACAAGGCACCGCGTAAACGTGTGCCTTGTGTTGCATACAAGTATAGACCAGATAGATACAAGCAACCGACAACTAGAAGCAAATATTCTATTTTCATACAATTGATATAAAATCGACGCAGTCGCCGGTTGCAGCAAGTGGACGTAATCACCGGTAGCGGCAGTCGGATACTGTCGCTGGTTGCCGCAACCGCAATTGTATAAAAATTTGCATCTAGTTGCCGGTTGCTTGTATCCAACACAAGATACACATTAGCGCGACGCCTTGCACTTCACCTTATTTCTAATTACCAAAGACTGCAATATGTATCATTAACATTACCAATTTACCAAGTATAATAATAACATTGCTTAATTATATATTTTACTACGTCATCGCGGTTATACCTCACCTTAGATAATTACAGATAATTTTTAGTAGCAGTAGAGCTCCTTGTGAAAGTATTCGTCCAGGCAAGTACTGCCATCTTACTTACCTATTTCTGCAGCCAAGTAGTACTGTGATCATTACTGCGTTCTGGCTTTGAAGGGTAAGGGTGCTGGTGAAATTACAGGCACATGGGAATTGTCAACTTATGTCTCAGGGTGACAGGCACAATGGCTTCTCATATTTTTGCGATTTAAAGCTGCAGAGTGGCACTGCAACTGTTATGGACAGGCCTGTAGCTTACCATCAGGCGCACGATTTGTTCGTCCTGTCACTGGATATTATAAAAATACAACCTTTGCACCTAGCAGCGGATGAAGTCGGACTTTGAATCATGATGATACTCGTATTATGAAAGCTTCATAGTTTCAAAGTTGCAGTTTTGCAGATAAAACCATTTTATACTTTTTTCCCGTCGACAATAAGTTAACTCATAAAATATTGGCTGCATCAGACAGGTACTACATACAAATATATAATGTTATAAATAACACTTTGTATAACACACATATGACCATCATCATCATCAAACTATCTTAACGAAGAGAAAATTAATGACATGCTATAAGACTTTCTCGATAGGTGAAATACCTGTTCTTAATATCATGTCATCGTGCACGTATTATATTTAACGTATATCAAACATGTTAAATACCCATCGGCACATTTTAGCGGAACAAACATAAAGTTTATATTCAAATAAGTAGTTAGTACGGCTTTACTCAGGCATTATTGAAAAAAAACGGTATTAAACAAAAATGCATTTTTTTAGATTTCGTGACAAAGGAGAAAAGGTTGACAATGTTAAAGTTGTAACAGTTTAAACATTTATTAAATCAAAGTTTTATAATAAAATTAATGCTAAAGTTTACCAAATTAAGAAGAACGCAAGGTCAACCTCCAATCACTCAATAAACTTGCATTAGTAGGAAATTAAAACAAATAAATGAAAAAATGACAGTCGTAATAAAATATTACATTTTATTTTATAATTGTAACTTTTTTATAGAAAAAAAGACCTCAAAAGTTCGTGGAGTTACACCTTTTTGCCAAATTTTATTTAAATCGATTACCGGAAAGTGCGCGAAACCGGATTCGTCCTCTAGTTTGCTACACTGGAACAATCGCGTAACAACATACAAAAAAAACCGTCTAATTGAAAACCGCCTCCATTTTTTTGAAGTCGGCAAAAAATTGACTTAATATGAAAAAATAAAAGCTAAATAACCGGTCAGTCTTTTGAAAAAGACATTATTTGAGTGTTTTTTTTATAAAGGCCTTTTCCCGTCATCCTCCAGTCACCTTACCATTGTTACCATTGTACCTTGTCATTGGTATGTTGTTCACAATCCATTTATGGAACTCATTCTACCTACATTTCCTTTGAAAGTCGCGCTCTTTTTTCTGGTCTTAGGCATCCAAGAGTCGTATTCCAGAACTCTACTCAATGCTCAAATCAGGACTTGAGTATGGTTTAAAGCACTCGAAATCATACTCAAGTCCATGCCATTAGGGTCGTATTTCCAGTGCTTAAAATCATACTCAAGTCCTGACTTCTTCTGCTTCTTCTTTTAAATGTTATGGCCCCATCGAAATAATCAATGATTTTGCCAATGTCAAGTAAAGTCCTGACTTGAGCATTGAGTAGAGTTCTGGAATATGACCCTAAGACATGATGTAAACTACGTTTTATTCGCGATGAGAACGCAGTAGAAAATATAAATGGACGGAATACAAATAAACGGCTCTTGTTTCTATATATAATATCACAATTTATGCCCTCCTTGTCCTACACTAACGCATTTTTGGTAACTTTACAGATCTTGGCACCTAAAATTTTTTTTTCTTTGAAAAATGTCAATTACGCTGATTTTACTTGACAGTAAAACAGAAACTAAATAAGATATAAAAAACAGATTAGAGGGTGTTGTAGTTCTCGTTTCGCTGATTCCAGGTATATTAATAACTCAATTTCAGTTTATTTTTCGATTACGTTTGCTATGATAAGGACGACTTTTTAATAGCAGTAGAGCTCCTTGTGAAAGAGTTCGTCAAGGGAAATACTGCCAACTCACCTATTCCTGCCGCCAAGCAGTAATGTCAGCATTACTTCATTCCTGTTTTGAAAGCTATAAAAGGGTGCTGGTGCAATTACAGGCACATGGGAGTTGTAAACCTATGTCTCAAGGCAACAGGCGGGCGCAGTAAGAGTGCCCCTCAGATGTTTGCGATTTAAAGCTCTGAGTGGCACTGCAACTGTTTGCGTGTATATCGAGTTAACCAGAAATAGAGACGAAATGTCATTTAATTTGTTTGAAAACTATTCCGGCAAACCATTACAGTCACACCTGCGCTCCGATTGGCCACCTCGAATTTGAAATAATTGACGGGTGTCGTTAATTTTTTCACTTCAAATCGACCAGTTTAACTTGAGTTTTGCTATAATGGACGAAAATTGAAAAATTACGCATTTAATATTTAATTACCAACGAAATGTGATTACGTTTGTTTTGTAATTAGATGTTTTGCTGTTTTTCCCACACCACCGAATTAAACAACCCCCCATAGTTAGAGATATCATCATCTTTATTACAATAAATACATAATATTTTTGAAATAATACTATAATAATATTTCAACTTTCTAATTTGTGATTTCAGTGCAAACGAGAGTTGATATTTAAAACTGTTGTTGTTGATATACAAAACTGATATAAGGCCCATTTGCCTGATGAGTTGCCAGGGATAGATGGCCCTTATTTCGTCTCTATTTCTGGTTATATACTCGATGGGCGTGTAGCTTACCATCAGACGCACAACTTGTTCGTATTATAAAAACACAGATTTTGTTTAAAAATTTACAAATCTTATGACCTTAAATTTCTTGCATCAGGAACGTTCCATGAGTGAACATAAGTTCTTTTTTTTAAGTGGTATTGTCTGGGTGTACGCTATACACAAGCTTTAAACGATCTTCTAGTTTATTTTCGAGCCATAAACAAAATTAACCAAAAATCTTCCCGCATCAGTTAAAAAGTTAACGGGTCAATGGATTCTTTTAACCCCAATTTATGCGTTTCGTTAACCGAAGTTAAATTCAATTGGTTAGCTTATAAAATAAATCAATGACTCAGCGTGTTTTTATGGGCGTTTTGATTTGTGGAACCTATTTTGAGGCGTTGAAGTGTTTAAACGTACCACGTATTGAAAAAGTTAACTGTTAACGGTTTTTGAGTATTGAAGTTTCGGAAATAGATTTTTAATTAAAGTTTTCTAAGAAGTCTGAAGGCCTCAAATCACGAAGTATTATCATTAACATCGAGATTGCTTTTCTTGACGATATAAAACACAATTAACTTTGGTATTTAAGAAGCTAAACAATACGAAACAAACATTATTATCTTATTATTTTTAACACACACACAAAAACTGATATATGCACAATATTCCAAATCCAAAATCGCCTAATGTTATAATTTATCCTAATATCCTAAATCGCCTAATGTTATAATTATAATGTTATAATATTCCAAATCCAAAATCGCCTAATGTTATTTTATTAACCGACTTTAAAAATAGAGGAGGTTATACGTCGTACATCGTACGTATGGTTTATGTATGTTTTCCGATTTATCCGTCAATTGTGGACCGATTCTGAAAAATCTTTTTTTGTTTGAAAGGATACACTCTCGATTAGGGACCACCGTCCCTAATTCCGACGATGCTGTTCCGTGTTCGTTTCGGCTCTGACAAATTACTAATTATTTTCCGTAAATAAAAGTCGACGTTTCTCTTGACATAATACATGTAATCAACAAATCATTGTCACCATGACAACCAGAAAAAAATATATACAAAGGAGTCAGTAAGACTCCCATTGTCATCAAGAAGTCCGAACCACTTATAATACTATAATCTTGTGATTATATGACTTCGACTTAACAAAATATTGTAACCAATTTATTAGTTGTAATTTATAAATATACATTATTATTATTAATAAATAACTTGTTATTGACCCTTTTGATCGACATCATAAAAATACATACGTGGAACTTAAATGGCCCTGTATGCTCCTACTCCATATAATTTATCTACAACTAATGACAGAGTAATTAGTTTATGCTTTTCTTGTCTTTTCCAGGCAAGTGGGCCGCAATCTTATCATTCCCGGTGGCACGCGTACCATCGACGCAACAGGCAAGCTCGTCATGCCCGGAGGCATCGACCCTCACACCCACTTCGAGCTGGAAATGATGGGGGCCAAGTCCGCCGACGATTTCTACAAGGGCACCAGGGCTGCCGTCGCAGGCGGTACTACCACTGTCAGTAAGTATAATTATGACTGTTACAACAAGAAAATACGCACACAAACGTGCTTCTCTACCAAAAGCTACGACAATAAACACCGTAATTATAGCACTGAATGAACCAACTGTATTATGTACTTATTTGGGGTGACCATTTATAGTATCGGTTAAGAGATGGTATGTCGAATCGTTAAAAATAATGTAGCTGTTCCATACGTTTTGGTCGTCGGGTAAAAAAGAATTTTGTATAAAAAAGTGGGATTATTTTTCGATTTGACATGGGTCATCATAAAAACGTTATTCACGATTGTGCTTAATATCTTTTTTTTTTAATAGAGTCTTCTTCCTGTCCTAATTCCACGCTAGATGAGGTCGGCACAACAAGAAAATTTTCTTCCACTCTCCCCTATCAACTGTCATTTCCAATACTCACACCTTTCTTATACATGTCATCTTTCACACAATCCATCCATCTTTTTTTTGGCCTTCCCTTATATACGTGTCTCTTATTAGTATCCAACGTATTCAAATATGATTAAATACTTTTAAGTAATATTTAATACTGTAAAAAAAATACTTTTAAGTAATATTTAACCCCTTTTCAAATAAAGATAAATTATTTAAGGTGGTAAATAATTTATCTTTTAATTTTTTTTAAGTATTCTTTTAAGTATCTAGCTACCTCTACATTCTCAAGTTCTAAATGTATAAATGTTAAAACATTTACCACCGAAATAAAACATTATCTTCCCCTGTTATTATTGATTCAAAGATGGCACGAACACAAAGATAAATTTCTTCGATCCGTCTGGACTCGAATCAGCACCTGTTTGCCCGACCGGGGCTAACCGCTCACCCAACTGAGCTACGGAACAAATCAGCTAACCTCACGAACTTCTCTAAGTGTTTGTTACCGACCTTTGCTTTTGGTTTAAAATAAAATATGATCTTCCCCTATTTAAAAAAGTTTGTGATGGAAATAACCTTCTCTACGAACTTCATTTACCTGGGAACTGCAATATTTTATAGGCTCGCGTTTGTTTAAGGTTTAAAGACCACCGATTAAAAAAACTGTCGTCATGAATTTGTGTTACTCAAATTAATAAACTTTCTTTTTTACTTACAGTTGACTTCGTGCTTCCCCAAAAAGGCCAATCGCTTCTTGAAGCTTACGACAATTGGAGAAAGAAGGCTGATGGCAAGGTTCGTTGTTTTTTGGCTGAAACAATAATGTTATTCATGCTAAACAGCACAGAATATCCTTTTCGCTAAATTACCTTTTTCGCGAAATTATCATAATTTTTTTTTATATTGACCCAATACTGAGACTGTCACTGAGACATATGTTGACAAGTCCCACGTGCCTGTAGTTTCATCAATTTCATCTTACCCTTCAAAACCGAAACAAGGTAATGTTCACATTACTGCTTGGCAGCAGAAGTAGGCAAGGAGGCAGTGCTTCACTGGACGAACTCTTTCACATGGAGCTCTACTGCTACTTACACATTTAACGGAACACTATTAAAAACCTGAAATTATACAGTGGTTGTTTAAAAAAACTGGCCAATTATATTACTATTGAATTTTAGGTCTAATTTCAAAACAGAAAATTAATCAACTGTCATTATTTTGTCAAGTGGTTGGAGTTAAATATTAATATTATTTAGGTGAACAAGTTTTTTTAAAATTAATTTTTATATTTTCTCAAATGGTGGTAGAAAGCGCGTAGCTTAATGACTCCGTGTGGTTCTAGGACGCGTGACGAGTTAATTGCTCCTTCATGTCTTATTATTTATTTTTATTGAAATGTAAACGTTACTATTTTATATCCTCACTTCTTTGTTCCGCCTAAATGCAGTGTGTGTAGTTCATTTTATCACTTATTATATACATATTATACAGCTGCCATTAGACCGTGTTAAATTTTATAGTATATTCGATACTGAGCTTTTCATTGGTTAAAATAACATTCAAAAGTTTTTTACACAATTGTTTTTAAGATAGGTCGCTATTTTAGAAAGCAATCGATATGAGAAAATATGCAATTAAAGTAGTTTTTAACTGATGTTTGATAAACATTTTCCAGGTCTGCTGCGACTACGGTCTTCATGTAGGCGTAACATGGTGGTCTCCCTCTGTCAAAAAGGAGATGGAACAGCTGGTGACCGAGCAGTATGGCGTGAACTCTTTCAAGATGTTCATGGCGTATAAGGACGCTTGGATGCTTGACGATTACGACCTCTATTGCACTTTTGAAACTTGCGCTGCGTTGAAGGCGTTGCCTCAGGTACGTCTTGCTTTTTGTCTGTATTAAGTAACCAAGTAGTGATATCCCTCGCCACCATCTCCAGTTAGAGAAACTACTTTTTCACCACTATCACCTAGGGTATCTAACAATACTTGCTACAAGGTCCAAGAGCTGGCAGCTTTCGTGCCAAACGCACTAGCATAGATACACATACAACGCTGCATAGCATTTTCCTATGTCACGCCTGTAGGGCTACAACGATAGGACGCGACTTGCGCGAGAGCGACATAAAGCGCGAGATCTCTATGCGAGAACAGCAGTATCGTGCTAGCCCTACTGATTTAAAGATGGATGACAACATCACTTGAAGTAATTTTTTCCGTAACCTATCATTGATATAACAAAACATATTTATAGCAAAAATTCAAGATAGAAAAAAATATTTAAAGTACATTCCCATTACCATACCATATAAACATCAGGTCCACGCCGAAAATGGGCACATAATAGCTCGCAACACGGAGAAGCTGTTGGCTGCAGGAGTGACAGGCCCTGAAGGTCACCAGCTCTCGCGGGATGAAGAGGTGGAAGGCGAGGCCGTTAACAGGGCCTGCGTTATTGCTAATCAGGTACGTTCTTGACCGCGATTGGAGTTTAACTGCAAGTTTTTTTATTATCCACAAACAACTGAATAAAATGTAGCAAATAACAAGTGTAAAGACAGAATTTCTGCATTTTGTTTGCAAATGTAAAGCCAGAGTATATTTAAAATAAATAATAGAGCATTTACTCCTCAAAACAACAAAATCTACATTCAGTATAATATTAAAAACTATAACGAGAATAAAGGTACGTGAAAAGGAAGGAGCAGTTTATTTAAAAAAGAAGGACCCGTGGTAATTATTTCAAATTTCTGTAAATTTTCTATTTTAGGCCAAAAGTCCTCTGTACATAGTCCACATGATGTCGAAGAGCGCACTCGAGTCTCTGCAAAATGCCCGAAAACGTCAGCAAATGCCTGTGTATGGAGAAACTTTAGCTGCCACAGTCGGTACTGATGGTATGGTCTTTTCTTACATTATTCTATAATAAGATACAATATTTACCGTAATAATATTACCTTTTCACCCTTGAGAAAACAATTTATAGTATATTCCAAATTAATCACCTGGGCAAAATTGTTTCAGGTACCCATTACAGGAACGCATGTTTCCGTCACGCGGCAGCTCACGTGCTGTCGCCGCCTTTACGCCCTGACCCTGACACCCCGCAGGTCATGGTTGAGGCTTTGGCTGAGTGAGTATCCGTTGAAGGTGAAAAGCACCAGAAAGCGTTTGTACAAATCTTTATATTCGTGTAATAGCCAGGATTTCAATGGCGGCACCATTACATACGGGTTTATGGCTTCATTTTTGGTCGAAAAACTATTGCAGCAAATTTTTGATAATTCTTTAGCTTCGACTGTTGTATTATACTGTTGTGGCGGTCGAGCTGGGAGTGACCGTGGTACGAAAACAAAATGAGAAAGTGAAGGAAGATGGAACAATTCAAATTTAAAATTTAAATACATGTAAAATAAAAAATGATAGTATACAGGCGGAGAGAGGCGATACAAAGAGGTGAGATGACTGTGTAAGGAAGTCACACCGTCACAATGGTATTAAAAATACCACTACTTGATATGAATAAAAAAGGGATTTAGAAATAAGTTTTTGAGATTTCTGCACAATAAGAACCCCATTTATGGTTTCAGCGACTGCCTGCAGACCATCGGCAGTGACAACTGTACATTCCACGAGAAAGACAAGGAAATTGGCAAAGGCAACTTCTCTAAGATCCCTAACGGTGTTAACGGTGTGGAAGACCGCATGGCTATACTCTGGCAGAAGGCCGTTAATACTGGTACATAAACTATATATAATATAGGACAAAAAATAGCTCCTTGAAACACTCCCTTAGTAAAATTTTAATAAAAACTCTTCCAACGGATTCGATGTTATTTCAAAGGTTCGATTTTGTTAAGTTTCACTGTATTTAGTTGTCACTTTTATTGCTTTGAAATTCATGTGTTCATACGATTAATCGTCACCAATTTAAATTAGCAAAAAAATAACAAAAAACCGGACGAACTAAGAAGCACTCTTGAAGTCCAAACCAAATATACCTGTAGGTATAATGATAAAATCATGTAAGAACACTTATGACAATACTTGCTTAAGTTACAAGATGATAAGGACCACAGACAACAATACAATCGAAATATAATAACATAGCTTTTGGTGGTTGTACGAAATTTAACCTATCAAATTTTACAGGTGTGATGGACCCCTGCCGTTTCGTGGCGGTGACAAGCTCGAACTCAGCTAAGATCTTCAACATCTGGCCTCAAAAAGGCCGTATCGCCGTAAACAGCGACGCTGACGTCGTGGTATGGGATCCTCGCCTCGAAAGGACCATCACTGCGGCTGCCCATAAACATGCTATTGATTTCAATATCTTTGAGGTAAATAGTCCTGTCGTCACCTCATCACTCAACAACCAATGCAATATTTAACGGACATGTTTCTCTTTTTAATTTCATTAAATTGAATATTATTTCATGACAAGATCAGAAATTTAATAAGAAATGATTAACATTAAATAATACCACACCCGGTTGATATCTCAAATATTAGGCCAAGCGCTACGCATTAACTTTCATAATGCGCAATACCTGCTTTATCAAGCTGCCTGCATTTATAATATCCATATGCATACAAGACCAACATTTTCAAGAACAACAGGCATCTAGTTAAGCCCGATCCATAGTCTTTACATTTATGATAAACATTGACACAATGTTTTATAAATTAAAAAAAAACGCTCGTGACTATATTTCATTTTCAGGGTCAACACGTAGTCGGAAGTCCGCAGTTTGTGATCGTCAACGGACGCGTGTGCCTCGATGACGGTGACTTGAGGGTAGTTGAAGGTAATACCGCTGCTATTATTTTGATTAATGTGACGCCGATAATTTGCTGTATACTCGTGTCGCGGAAAACTCTTATCTTGCTTCTTCGCGCAAAGTAACGCCATCTAGTGACATTGTAAAGAACCTTTGCTAGCTAGCGCGTCTTCCCGCCAACTTATACAGATTTAGCATGGCGCGTGTGATTGTTTTGCCGCCACGATTTCGTTTCATTATCTTAAATAGTGAGTAATATATAATATAAACAACACTGTTGTGTTAATTACCCTTTCGAAGCCACCGAAACTAAACGTGCAGTGTTTTTTCTTCTCATAATTAATATCAATCGAAAACAAAATACACTTTATATCATAGGAAAGCATATTACACTTGAAATCGTCACAATGGTGAAACTCTACCGCTCATACCTAAGGCAGATTCCACTGAGAACAATGAGCAAGAAACTTTAGAGGTTGGTCTTTCTAAATACACATTTTTTACGCATTTGGCATTTTACAACTTTTTTCAAACATCATAAGATCGAGACTACCTCCAACAGCTAAACGGGTTACTACCACGGATTTTTGTCATCCAAGTACGCAGAAGTTGTATATAAACCATTAGTATAAATAGGAAATGAAACTATTTTTCCGGATTTAAATCGCGTATAGGTATTTGTTTTTTCAAACAAACCGACGTTTCGGGCCCTTTACAGGTCCCATGGTCACGGTTGACTGAGGTGGTACAGTCTTCAACCAGTTATGTCTAATATTAATGCAAACCACCCTATTTTTTCACTATAGTTACAATAGTTATTAATTAAATACCTTTTGTTTATAATATCCATTAAGGCCTCATAAAAACAGTATTGAATGTGAAATAAACAAATACAATCAATTGTATTAAAAAGTGATAATAAATTAAATAGTATTTAAAAAGGAGCGATCTCAATGTACTCAAAAGTTACGAAACTTGCCTTAGAAACAAAAGCTACTTTCATATTACGCAAGAGAGTCAAAAGTTACGAAAAGGTAAGAAATTTAACCATCTAGCAATACTCCATATGAGATTAATTTAAAAACAAAACTCAATTCCGTGGCCCAGAGTTACTAAAAAACCATTAATATTTGTTTTAACTGCGTCTGTGGCCGAACGGTTACCATGCTGGACTGCCACGCGGAAGTCTCGAATTCGATTTCCGGGCAGGGAGAAATATTTGTATGGCCTACATTTATTTCTCTCTTGAGTTTGGGTGTATTTTAGGTGTATGTGTGTACCCATAGCACCTGCAATACAGGGTTTCCCTAGTGGCTATGAGTACTAGGGGATATGAGTGTGTGCATTATTTTTTTTCCTTATATTTTTATCTTTCATTGACAGGCTACGGCAAGTTCCTGAAGACGCCAAGCAACTGCCCGTACGTGTACGGCGACGAACTGCCCGCTGTCAACGACCGTGTGGACGCTGCGCCACAGAACGCTTCTGGCCGGTTCACCAACGGCACTCCTACACCTACTGGTTAGTATGTTCAAAATTTTATTTATTAACAGGAGGTTATACATTCGACTGTATGTTCCTGACAAAGTCAAGGCAGAACATATTTGCTATAGCTCGTAAGCATTTCGGCGTTAAAAACTGTTGGTCATCTGATGGAACCATAGTTGTGATATTGCTGGACAAGAGCAGAAGAAAAATTACTGAGTTTGGTGAATTGCAAAAGCTCCAGGCCAGTTTTCCATCCACGGCAGGCAGCTAATTTATCAACCATCGTGATTATTGTGAGGTATCTCCATTTTAAACAATTTTCCACTACAAAATTTTAAGGTATTTCATTATTAAGTCAAAATTAAAATTGTAGTTTCCATATGTTCGTTTAATGTTAGCTGTCAATATGACTTTTCGTTCAAAAATTTTTAACGTTATTTATTTAAACTTTTTTTCGTTTCTTCTTTTGTTATCGTAACTTTGGATTTGAGTCTTTCAGTCTAAATATCAATGTGAATGAAGTTTTTTATGTAGTATGGAAAAAAATAAAAGAAAGGAGCTGCCCTAAGTACAGAATCAACGTGCATATTACCAAAATTTGAAAGTTACAAATGGCGGATTTCTTTAGTGTTGTACCATAATCTATCGATAAGTCATTATCGACATGCAAATGTATGGCTTGAATTTTTGTTTCTTTAGTTTACTGTAACCAAAGTATGCCTAAACATGCACAAGTCTGATAATTTAATCTCGAGTGGTATATTATTATAAATGTCAACACACATTTTTAAACTTCAAAAAAAATTTATTTTCAACATTCCAACTGGTAACTTATGTAGTAAAAGTCACCAAACTGCTGTGCAGTTTGTTGGCGACATGCGCATTCTTGCTTAATTACACCTACTTTACTTGTATTTGACATTACGTAGTATTAATTGTACTTACTAAATAAAATATAAAAATTACTTTAAGAGGTACGCCTTTAACCTACATTTTAGTACATATTTACATAACGTCTTTTAACTAACCGTCAAGTACAAGTCTATTCAGGTTTCTGCGGATTCTAGTATTCCCGTTAATTCCCGGGCTTTCTTAAGCAAATGAATCTATCAAGCAATTTTAACACAGAAATAATGGAAGTAGTTGTAAAAATCAATTATCGGAAATCAACAATTATCATGTACTAGCTTTTCCCCGCGACTTCGTCTGCATACAATTTTTATACAAATGAAAAATATTCAAGTATGAACCAAATCGCACCACGTGTTAAAAAGTTACCATACAAACTTTATTACCCCATTTCGCCGCATTATTTAAAAACTGTCATGCCATTTTTTTACCATTTTTATTGTAAAATATTTATGCAAAGTTTCGTCTTTGTAATTTCAAGGAATATTATTTTTCATGCAAACGTTTTTAACCGTTTTCGCCCTCTTAGGGGATGAATTTGAAAAATCCGTTCTTAGTACTCCTTCACTAAATAAAATTAACATACCCTCAAGTTATCATGTTCCAGTACTTACAGTTTTTGCTATGCGTCCATTTACCAGTGAATTGCTCTGGACCGTACTCCTTTAAATATGTATATAGATTTACAAAAACCAAATTATTTTAAAAAATAAAAACCCGACTGCAAAATTATTTACCAATAAACCTAATGATGGAATAGCATTGTCATGTAATCTAGTTACATTTAAAGTTCTGTTAAAATTTGACTCTTCAAAATGAAGCGAACAAATGAAGATGGTCTTTGATCCAACGTTTATATTCGGCAGTCCTATGATTTCCAACCATTCTTTCTTCCTTTTTTCATTTGTAGGAAAACTTGAAATAATAATAATGAAACAATAAAAACCTCATAGTGAATTGTTTTAATAACAGAATATCGATAATATGTATGCTTACAAGATCAACACTATCTCAAAATAATCGTTAACAACAATCATCAAAATATACAAACAAACAGGCAATCTAAAGTAACAAAAGCAAAATTTGGCAAGATTTATAAATAAACTACTTAAATAAGTCTAATTACATAAAATATTCGGGCTATTGTGTGATTTATAGACAAAAAAATAACACATGCCTGTGCAATGTAACATTCGATTGATTTGCAGTTTTTCTAAAGCGGCATCCTTTACTGCAGCGTCGCATTTTTATTAATACCTAATTATTCTCACTGTCAATATTTTTGTCCAATTTAATTATAATACATGTGAATAATTCAATAATACATTTGGAAAAACATTTGTTTTGACATTTGATGTACTTCCATTTGACAACGGTATCATGTACCTCATGTACTTGAAATGGCCACGGTTGGCATTTAAAATGACGTTACGAATTTTCGATTCCCGTGTTTGACACAGACCAATGTAATGCTATCTCTTTTGGCTTAAGACGGCACGTAATAGTTAAACAAAGACAATAATATGTTTATGTTTTCGACGTCGAAATGCATCATATACATATAACGTCTGATTTATATATGTCAACGTAACATGTCCTTTAGTTTCCATAGTCTAAGACCTGTACCAATCATAATACGTATTATTTTACTGAAATTTTAAGTATTAATAATTATTTTTTTTGTAACTATGGACTCAAGTCATTCAGTCGAAATATTAAGGTATTTATTCCTTAAATGTCACTTCATGCCTTTGTTGATTTTGTATTCAATGTAATATCATTGTTTTGTACATATTTGTAATTGCTTTTACCATTATTGTGTTGCCAATACTCGCTGGTGGTTTCGTTTTTGTTTTTTGCCTTAAGTTTTGTTTATTTATTTTATTTATAGGAAGTATTTTAGTCTATACACATATCGTTTTATTATTTATAAATTGCATATTTATTCATTTATATTTATGTCTGTAAACTCTAATTATTTTACTGATAGCTCATCTGATGAGTTTGAAAGTGCTTGTAGTGATATTTCTATTTCTTCTGACTCCGATGGCCCTTCACTAGATGTTAAGATGCAGTCAATTTTTTATGGAAAATCCAATTTCTTTAACCTGGTGCACAACCTGTGTGTGTGCGTTATTATTATCTCGGAATCTCGGCTCAAACCCTCTCTACCATCCCCCCTTTTTACACTTAATGGGTATAAATTATATCGAAACGACAGAGTTGGGACTGGTGGTGGTGGTGTATGTATTTACGTCAAGAGTCATATTCCGTGCTCCGTTGTCAGCCAGTCTCCTAGCACTTATACTGGGTCTTTAGAGTATCTATTTCTAGACCTCAACTTACATCACACCAATATCTTAGTTGGTGTTACTTATAGCCCTAGTGTTAATGTAAACTATTTTAACTTATTTGAGACTACCCTTGAATCCTTGAGTGCCTCTTACGAACATGTAATATTGATGGGTGATCTTAATACTTGTATATTAAAGAATAACTTCCGGTCTTCACGTCTTAACTCCATTGTATCTGCTGTGAACTTTGTATTGCTCCCACTTACTGCCACCCATCATTCTCCTAACTGTCAACCTTCACTTTTAGATGTTCAGATAGTCTCTAAACCTCAATCGGTTCTCCTGCATGTACAAACCACTGCCCCATTCTCATACCATGACCTCATATATTTGTCTTATCGAGTACGCACTCCCAAACCTAAAATTAAAGTCATTTTTCAGCATAGCTTTGGTAACATTTCTGTGGATCGTTTGAGAGAGGAATTTTCTAATATTGACTGGTCTGCATTGATTGAAGCTAGCACGGTAAATGAGAAGATCAAAATTTTTAACAATCACATAATAAAGTTGTATGATTCTCATGCCCCACTCAGACCAGTACGTGTTAAGCATCTGCCTGCGCCTTGGCTTACACCAGCAATAAAGAAAACCATGAAACGTAGGGACAAGGCCAAGTCGATTCTCAAGAGGTTTTCAAGTGAAGACAATTTGCTCACTTATAAAAGGCTGCACAATCTCTGCAATAGACTGTGTCGTGACGCCAAACGGCGTTACTTCCACTCGTCGATGGAAGGCTTGTCTATGGGTCAAACTTGGAGGTTCTTGAGGTCACTTGGTGTGGGTAAAGATCGTGACTGTACTGTTGACTTGCCTGACCTTAACTCACTTAACAAATACTTCAGCAACTCAGCGTTTACTGTTGCTGAATCTATCAAAGCGGGCACGCTCACTTCACTGGGCGCTGCTACTCATCCTGATTGTGTACCTTTTTCTTTTCGCGAAATCAATGAGAGGGAAGTTAAGAAGAGTATCCTATCCATAACTTCCAAGGCCGTGGGTGAAGATGGTATTTGCCGCGACATGCTGATACCTATCCTGGATGACGTTGCTTCAATTATCACACACATTTTGAATACTTCTCTTGCAACTAGCGTCTTTCCTAGCGATTGGAAATCAGCTCATGTCATTCCCATCCCTAAATCCGCTACTCCCACGGCTTTCTCCCAATTTCGTCCTATCTCCATCCTACCATTCCTGTCCAAGGTCCTTGAAAGCACTGTGCATAAACAACTTCACTCATATGTCTCTCGTCATGAACTTATAAGTCCGTATCAATCTGGTTTTCGTCCTGGTCATAGCACTATAACTGCTTTGCTTAACGTCACCGATGATATTCGTCACGCCATGGATAATAGGTTGTTTACCATTATTGTTTTGCTGGACTTCAGCAGTGCTTTCAACTCTGTCGACTACAACATCCTCCTTGCCATTCTCTGCTCTCTTAACATCTCCCCTGCTGCAATTGCCTGGTTTTCGGATTACCTCCGCAACCGCTATCAAAGGATCAGGAACGATGACATTTATTCCGATTGGTCCCCTTTGACTTCAGGGGTGCCACAGGGTGGTGTACTTTCACCTCTTCTCTTCTCGCTATTCATAAACGAGCTCACTAAATTAATTTCTCCTCCATTCCACTTATACGCAGATGACTTGCAAATTTATAGACATTTTGATGGAGCCAATATCCAATCTGCCATTGAATCTATTAATAAGGATCTTCTTGTGGTGAAGAGTCTTGGGCTGATGCGTTTGGTTTGCTTGTAAACCCTAGGAAATCACAGGCAATAATTGTAGGTAGCACCCGACTTTACTAGAGGTTACATATTAATAATCTCCCCAAGGTCTCGTATGATGGAGTGAGTCTTGCATATACTGAAAACACAAAGAACCTAGGTCTGATAATCGACCGTACACTGTCTTGGAGACCACAGGTAAATGAGGTTAGACGACGCATGCACTTTTCCTATCATTCTCTCAAGCTACTTCAATTTTTCTTACCTTTCAACACCAAGGTTATGCTTGCTCAGTCCCTACTACTCCCTCTTCTCGACTATGCCGATGTTTGTTATTTGGATGTTACTGAGGAGCTGCTTAACAAACTAGAGCGCCTACGAAATCTGGACATCCGTTTCATATTCGGTTTACGTAAATATGACCATGTCTCTGAATTTCGGATTAAATTGAAATGGCTCCCAATCAGACTTCGCCGAGATATGCACTTTCTTTGTCTTCTTTATAAAATTTTAAATTACCCCCAGCTTCCTCATTATCTGTGTTCCCGTTTTTCTCCCTTATCCCCCAATTCCCGCCCAAAACGTACCTGTGACACTAGAACTCTTTTATATCCCCAATCCAACTCCAAATTCTTTCACAATTCTTTTACCGTAAGTGCAGCTCGTATGTGGAATAAACTACCTGCTAACATTCGTGACAGTCCATCGGTGGCATCTTTCAAACACAAATTAAAAGAGCACTTCGTACGTGTTAGATAGTTTAAAGGTAACATATTTGTAAACAAATGATCTGTTATTATAACATATTCTGCTTATGTATGTATTTATGTATGTAAAGTTCATGTATGTGTGTATGTCTGTCGTATGTATATTATTATCATTTATATTTTATTCACATTTAAATTTTAATTTTGTTGTACAATAATTAGTCCCGCAGACTTCATTTTTGCACCACGGCTAGGGTTGGCTGGAAGAGATCTCTTATAGAGATAAGCTCACCTTTGTATATGTCCATTGTAACGTGTGTTTCATTTCTTTGTACAATAAAGAATACAATATATTTTTCGATTTCTCCGTCAACTGTGGACCGATTTTGAAAATTCTTTTTTGTTTTAAAGGGTGCACTCTCGTGGTGATACCATTGTAACCAAGTCAGGATGTGATGATTTTCCTTGAGGAAAATCCTCAAATTTTATAGGCATGTCAGTGTACTCACTGATTTCTCCATCAATTGTGGACCGATTTTGAAAATTTATTTTTTTATTTCAAAGGATATAATCTGGTCTCTGATGCTGTTCCGTGTTCGTTTCGTCTATCACAAATTACTAATTATGTTATGTATGTATATAACAGACGCACTTGACTCAAAGTGTCTTATTGCTTTAAACGACTCACATGAAGATGGTTCAAAGAAATTTGAAATTCATTTTTCGATCGAATAAGAAATTCACAACGAGATTGTTAAGTTAATGGTGCGTTACATTCGTTAATCGCGTACAGAGAGTTGCCAAATGATTCCTGGACTAGTCAAAGCGTGCCTCGCAGGCTATAATAAAATTTCTTTAAATTCATAATTTTTTAATTACTAAATGTATCAATTTTCATTTACATCCATAAAAAAACGACGGTCCTGCTTAGTATTTCTTTCAAAAAATAAGTGTAAAATATTTTATTAATATGATTCATCACTACCAAATTATTTAAAAGTTTACAACCTCTGAGGTCATCTGTACATCAAAGGGACTTCTACCACGATACGCTAACGAGAACACTGTCGCGCGTTACTGGGAACATTAAATAAATAATAAATAAATAAATAACGCACACACTCAACATAGCCCCGCACTAGGGAAACCTTGTGTCGCGGGTGCCATGGACACACACATAGACAACCACAAATTACACCCAAACTCACGAGAGAAATAATTGTAGGCCATACAACTATTTCTCTCGGTCCGGGAATCGAACCTGGGACCTCTGCATGGCAGTCCGGTATGGTATCGGCTACGGAGGCAGTTGAACATTGAACATTGAAGTATCGTTTTCATAAATGACGTGTATAGCGGTAGGAGGGGATGAATGGTAGCTATTGCCATTGCTAAATGGTGGTCTCAATATTTGCCCATCAATTTCAATGTATTTTTATAATTGCAAATTTGTATAAGCATTTAGTTTTTGATACTTGTCAAAGTAACTGTTATGTTATTTATTAATAACGTATTATACGCGTTTTCACATAGTTCGTTTACTGATTTTTCTTGAAGAAAAACTTATAAACTTCTTGCTCAATTCAATTATTAAAGTAATATAGTATGTGAAAGAAGCACAATTTAACCAATTAAAATGCTAACTACAAACATTATTGCGTTTACTACATTTTACACTCCATTTTTATCTTCGTCCTGAAAAATTACATAGCAATCGCATACGAGGTATTCACCTACCACATAGACCTATAGGTACGTCATACAGCCAAGTACGGATCTTTAAAAAAGCAGACTACGCATAACTTCTCCTCTATTTTATTACAATTAGAGTTGTAAGGTTTTATTGTATAGTTTTATGACGAATGTGCTGTAAAAAACGTTACTATTTTTATTGTTAATTTTTATATAATCATGGTTTCCTTTACAATTATTTTACTTGTATTTAGATTAAGTTGTAATTAAATAAATTTATCTTATCTTACTGATTAATTGCCTGTTTGTAACTTGGTAGATCTGACCCTGGTGAACAAGCACCTGGAAGGCTTGGGCATCTCGTCCGGCTGCAGCACTCCGACGGGTCGCAAGATGCGTGAAGTAGGCCAACGCGACCTTCAGAGCTCCTCTTTCTCCATCAGCAGTACGTATAAATCCTCTCACTGGTATTGTTTCTTCTATTTACAGCTAATATTGATATAACATAAAGTATATATAATATAGGACATAAAATAGCTCCTTGTAAAACTCCCAGTAAAATTTTACAGTTTACCAGAAAAACTTCCTACGGTTTCGACGTTACGTGGAAGGTTTGATTTTTGTTAAGTTTACTGTATTTAGTTGTCAATTTTAGGACTTTGCTATTACCATACTCATATGATTAAATTGACAGAAAAATTAAACCGAAATAGCTAAAAAGTGATATGCATCTTCCACTACTCCATCATAACTCGTAATTAGGAGATTTGTTTCTTTTTTTATCTCTCATATTTTAGCATAAAAAAGTTATCGTCTAATTTCCTGCAAAATTGTCATTTTGCAGATGTGGCTTTATTGCAGCTAGGATGCGAACTAAATATTTAAACCATAAATTTTCTCCAAATTGCAGAAGAAGTGGAAGGCCTGGAGACAAAGACATCAGTCCGCGTGAGGAACCCGCCTGGCGGAAAATCTTCGGGCTTGTGGTAAACTGCCGAAGAGAGAGGCTTGAAGCTTTTGTTCGGCTTAGGAGTGTTTGTGGAGAAAAATATCTTTAAGAACATGTCGACTCGTTTTTTCGTTATCAAGATACTTTTCGTAGGACAGTCCTGTTAACTTGACATAGGTAACTAGAAATACAAATTACTTCTTAATACGAACGGATGAACTTACTTTGGATAGCTTGTTAAACCAGGCAGCTGCAGTTTTGTGCTCGGTTTATTTGAACAATATATTACTGGTATGTCCCTCGTGGACACATACCAGCACGAGGAAGATCTCAATGCAGGCACAGCGCAATTAAGACGCAACATTCCGTTCAAGGTCAACATAGTTGTAGAAAAGTAGCATTGACACCGATTTCATGACAAAAGTAAATCTTTCATTATTTATTCTTTCACCAGTTATGTTTTCCTGATCAAATTGTTGCGTGTGAATCGCCGTTATACTAGCAAAAACAAATGTTTCACAGAAACTGTATAAATTGGACGGCTGCCGTTGTCGAGTGTCTTCGACATCGGTTTTCATGGTGTCGCCATCTCCGAGTTCCCGGGTTCGATCCCCGGCCAGGGTTGTTTCCAATTTCCAAAACACAAGTGTTTTAGTTACTAACTTTGGGATCAGAGCAACTGATGTGATGTTATCTAATATTTATATAAATATTCGTATTTTACATAAGCTAAATGCGGTCGCGTTTTCTACAAAAATTCCAGATAATTGGTTTTCGCAGTATAATGACGACATATTAACGCACGTGACTGTGCCAGCTGCACCATGACAGGAAGATCATTATAGATTTGTTGATTAATACCAATCGCCTTAGCGATGCGGTAATAGGAAGAAGGAAATATGGCTGCCATTTTATATAATAATAACGTACTAAATCGCCACGCCTATTTCCTGATCTCAAATTAGGGAGTTCCCTATACTATGCGTACCAGAGCAGAGAAACAAACTCAGGGGCAAATTAGTCCTGCAGTAATCGAACTCGGAACATCCTAATCTAATATTTGTGATGCTTAATTAAGAAAAAGTATGCCAAACACGGCCACTATAATACCTTAATATGTACGGTATATGCAAAGATGACCAATTGTTTAATCTAGATTTTCTAGTGCCGTTCACCAACTTTTACCTATAGAAACTTCCAGAAGTTCTGTTGCGCAACAACGGGTACTGCCTGCGTTTATATTTTTCACCTTTGTACGAGAAGTCACGGAAGTTACTATGAGTAAAGAGTTTTAATAGCAGTAGAGCTTCTTGTGAAAGAGTTCGTCCAGGGTAGCACTGCCACCTTACCTACTTCTACCGCCAAGCAGTAACGTCAGCATTACTGTGTTCCGGTTTTGAAGAGTAAAAGGTGCGGGCGAAATTACAGGCACATGGGTCTTGTCAACTTATGTCTCAGGGTGACAGGCGCAGTGGCAGTGCCCCTAAGATCTTTGCGATTTAAAGCTCTGAGTGGCACTAAAACTGTTGTGGACAGGCGGGTAGCTTACCATCAGGCGCACGACTTGTTCGTCCCGTCATAAGTCTTGAAATTATAGAAAAAGAGTAGAAGTAATTTTAACTTCAATTAGAAACCTTAAATAATAATGATCCTAGAATTGTCATTTTGTGAATATCGGTCCGTACAATTATTAACATTGTTGGTACGTTATATAGATAAATAAAACCTCGGTAGCTCAGTGATAAGACTCTAGACGCAAGATGTGGAAGGCCCGAATTCGTTCCTGGTTGTAAAATAACTTTTCTAAATCATCTCTGGTATATTGTTCCAGGTAATATAGCCCAGAAGTTAAGTTTGTTGCCCTGGTCATCTTTTAGCAGGCAATTCATGTTTATTGTTTATTCTGTACTTTATTGTGCTTAATGTTAAAACACAATTCCAAATTTCTATTAAATTTGTCTTTTTCTCCACAAGCTAAGAAAGCCATCAAAAGCTTGGGAACGGCGGAGAACCAATGATAGGTTATGAATAACCCAAAGCTTCTAGTGCGATATGTATGGACATGTATGAACATGTATGGATTTGTATAAGTACCTATCTGGTAGTTTATTATTATCACATAACAATGTGTGTATGGGCTACTTTCCAAATGTGAGATTGAAAACGGAACCTCACATTAAATTAAAAGGTACACTTTCATAGACAAACCGACACAAAGACACGCATGAAAGTTTATTAAATTAATGAACCCAAAGAAACTGGTGTTCGAACTTTAAAATAAAGTTATAAAGAAGTGTACAGACGACACGTTTCTTTTAATGACCAAATGTCAAAAAAAAATCTTAACTTTGGAAAGTAGATAATGTTAGCATGTTTTTTGTTTCACTTAAACGTACAGACTGATTCAACATATATCTTGCTTTACTAATATTTAAAACACAATAGAAATGATTAACTTTAGCTATAATTATTTACCCGGATATTTAAACCAAATAAAAACCAAATTGTCGTTAAACGTACTAGTTACTTCACCACCATATGACTTTTTAATCTTTTTCCAATATTTCAGAGCGGTTTAACGCTCCATGGTCACGGATTCAAGTGTCTCATTGAAATCTATTCCGCAAACTCTTATTTCGGTTTTCATTGATGAATTACTGGTTGACAAGTGTTACTTGGAGCCTTGTTGTGTTTCGGAATTTCCAAGAATTATATTCCGGTCCAGCAGGTCGACCGATTCGATTAGATATCGTACGATTTCTTTTAATTTTCATTCACAATCAACGAATCGTCAAACTCAAACAAAAACATCAAACTGTCGTATTCGAAACCGTACCGAAATGACGTCACACCCGTACGATTACTAGTACTTCTCGACTGGCAAAGGCTACAATCGTAATTCAGAACACAGTTATCGAATGAACGTTACCGAACGTCCTATTGTTTACAAAGCAAGAATGTAATATGAAAATCTTTTATTATTTTAAATAAAATCTGGCTATTGTTCAATTTTATTAATTTATTTTAATGCGCCCTTGGGTCTATAAGTCCAACCAAAATATTTGGCATTGAAGTAGTATGTAGTTGCAATTCCATAGGTATGCGTCGACTTATGGTTGAAGCCAATACGACTCTAGATGGAGTCATGTACTGTGAACGTGTTAAATTTTCACTACTATGTTTCAATAACGCAACCAGGATTGTTCATATAAACTTGTCAAACTGTAAACGATGAAAAAATGCAAAGTATGTTTCGCCTCGGCTCAAGTAATATCTAAATCACATTGAATACTAAGTACTACGTGTTCTCTATAGCATATTTTATAATATGTACTCATGTTTTATCCAGCAAGATATTTTCAATAATTAAAAGTTGTTTAGTGGTTGTATAAATAGGATTTCACTTCCAAAGTAGTTTTCCATAATCCCAAAAAGTGTCAAAGTTTGTTTCAAGTTAACATAGTAGATCCGCAAACTAGTGGCTTAACATGTTGCAAATATACTTAATTTAAGATTAACTTTTTCACCCTAATAAAAAGCCAAATGGAAGAATGGACGTTTTTCACATTAGACAACACGACACGGTAACATGAAAATGAAGACGAGTAGCGCTCACTTTAAAAATGTGAGATAAAGCGCCACATTCATTATTGAACGTGTTGGGCGTATATTAGCCAATACGCTTATGTTAACCGACATTTTAAATGCCATGTCGGCATACATTAGCTGTACCTATATGCTGCCTATACTTCGTTTTATTAGAATTAGAAAAAAACGTAAACAAAGAAGCAGTGATCATAAACCTTTTTCTTCAGGCAACAAATTACAATAACGTAGAATATCGTAAGAATTGGTAACAAATGACATTTATGAATGACGAGGTAGTATGTTATTAATTAAAAAAAAGTTTCCGTTTAATGTTTGTAACCTCTGTTTCTTTTGTCTTTTAATGTGCAAGTTTTTGAAGTAGATTAAGTATGTGAAGATAGAAAGTTTTTATTTAATCTTCAGTAAATACTACGAGTAAAGATAACGAAACAATGACATAAAAATTTAATGAATATGTCTCTTAAATTTCTTTCCTTAAAAATGACGGAGTGAAATGGCTCGAGATAAAATACCTGATTTAGATAGAACATTCCTCCTGTCTAATGCTAAAAAAACGAAGTATACAATTTTTCTCTAACATAACCATTTAACTTATATTATTTAATATAACAATAACCATAGAATTATAATGACGTCACTTTGAATTTTGTAAAGTTTTGAAGACGGACGATTTTCCCATATCGCTTACTCTTATATTGAATTCACATTTTGAGTGCAGTGGGTAATTTTCATGTCACTGAAACCATGTGCTTGGTTGGTTTGAATTTTCAACCGTATTTCACGTGATATTATAGCCATGTCATTGGTCCGTTACAATTACTTAATGCATTCTTCAGCGAATGATCTATACGTAGTAGGCGAGTGAGGAAGTAATAATTGTAATAATTTCATTATGTTTAACCTATTTGATAAATTCTTGTTATCTTCTAAAGGCTTAGAAGTTATTTGCCGAACTTTGGCGCCACAAATATTTGTGAGCCCATAAATAACTTGTCACTCTTTAAAAGAGAGTTTACGCAGGTTTATTTTGAAATAACCCGAAACCTGATGACAAAGAACTATTGTTGTACGATTTTGAAAAATCATGTTAAAGCTTATTACTTTGTTTAATTATTACTTTTTGTGGGAAAGAAAACTGTTGCTTTTTTATGACTACGGGTTAATAAAAAAAATTTGCATAATTTTTTTACAGTACGAACATATGTACTATATGACGTAATAAGACAAGTATGGTAACTGCATACAAACGTAGCAGCGTGGTTTGTGCGTGCGCGCCCTCCGTGTGCCGTGTACGGACGCACACATACGCATAATTGGATATTGATAAGCTATAACGCGTCAACCAATATTATCATAGTTTTGCGAAAATGACACCTAAAGATTTTTTGTTGTTTTTGATAGTTTGTTCTAAAATTTACTTATAAAACTGTTGTCACCTTAAGAATGATGAATTGTTGTGATTTATTACTACAATTCCTCAACAAGCACAACAGCAAAGGTTTTCATTTTGTAAGTAAATTTTAGAATAAACTATCAATAACAACGATAATATTTTTAAGTGCCAATTTCGCAAAACTATGACTATGTTGGTTGACTGACACCTTATTGCTTATCAGCATCCAATTTCGCGATGCACTCGCGCTGGTCCAATCGCATATTTAACAACGCGCTGCTGCGAATGAATGGTGTAGGTTCTGAGAAAGACTCCCAAATATTGGTAAAGAACTATTATAGAACTTTTCTATATTATTTTGTTTTACTTACCATTTTTGTCAACAAACAGTCTACGTCAGCTGTACCTTAAAATGTGGCGCTTTTAAAAATGTATTTAAATAATAAGAATGGATATGTATGTTTCTATGTGCTTAAATGATGGTAATATAAGAATAGTGTTAACGACTTTTTTGTTTTTTTAACTATTAATGTAATAGAGCACCTCGAAAATATGTCCCACTATTTAATATTGTTTTTTTATTACTTAGTTGAGAACCAAATTCCATATTACGATTGTGAGGACGTCAATTCTGTTAATCTTTTACATAATTCTAAATCTAATGACTAAAAAGATAATTGTGACACATTTAGTAGCGAGAATGCAATTATGTTTCGTAAATTTACTACGCGATATTTTGAACCTTATTCCGTCTAATGTCGAAACGAACATTAATTTGAAATTTTCATAATAGCGCCACCTTAAAAATTTTTTTTAACCGGTGCTTCTACCATGAACTTACAGTATTGGTAGTCGCGATCGTAAAAAATTGTTCTACTCGTGAATGCAAGGAGCGTGCATAATTTGCTCTACAAAATTATTGAGTATTTTATACACAATTGTTAGTGACTGTCAACACAGTAAACTATGGTAGAGGTATTACTTAACGAAGCGGAAACGTGAAGTCCTTAACCCGCTTCGCATAACAATAGTGCAGAAGGACTATTCGCTCTCCAGATACTATGGAACGACATCTGGTAAATTATTAGGTTTAGAATCATGACAGAATTGACACCTTATGTGAAGGATGACCGCGTAACACCGACCATTGGCTTATTGCTAAATTTTATTTAGAACTAATTCTTCACCTGACGTTACAACATTGACAACCAAAGCGAATAGCGGTATAATCAAGCATAAGGACGCCTTCAACTCTCATTTTCATACAATATATAATCTGCGAAATTTGGCATGCGTGTTGCCATTATGTTGGCCATTATGGCGCTGCAGCTGCGCTTCTAAATATTCTATGAAAATTCACTGCAACACTTCTATAAGCGTCTTATTTGAAGGCGTCCTTAGAGGAGTAAAAAAGGTTATATCGTAAATACAAACCCGATGGTTTGCCCCGTCAATGCTTGTGTGTAAAAATTTACTAAAAATTAACATTTGACCATAATCATTAGGTTAATTTTAACGCAGTACAAATTTGTCCTTTGACTAAAAAGGCTATTTTTATTTTTTCGAATTTTCACTAGTCTCGGCATCACGTTTTATAGTTTTACAATTTTTTTTACATGTCTAAATGTATGTTCTTTAATTATTATTATGCATTGTCACAAAATAAACAATGTAATCTCATATGTTTTAGTTTTATTTTTTCCTTCACCCACCGTCATACAACTTTACCCAGTATTTTCATTATGTAGTGAATGTATATTTCATTATGTATGAATATGTTAGGTATGGTTATATACTTATACGAGCCCTGTACCCCACCGTAGGTGGGAGTCGGGCTCGGCCTACGGCGCGTGGTCGGGTTCAGTTTACGGGGTGTGCTCATGCTCTTCGGTGGCGCAGCAGTTAGCACTATGGGCGCTTGATGAGGAGGTCGATTCCCGATTTGGGCCGATTTAAGAAACGAACATTTCTAAGTTGGTTTTGGTCTGATTATTCTGAATTATCATTGTTTTGGTATTCATAGTACAGGAAATACGGCAGTAGTTTGGCATTTTTCCCCCTAAATATTTCTCTTTGGCATAGCTTTCAAGAAAATGTAATCTGACAATTATGATTGAGATACAACAACGCTATAATAAGTATCTCATTTCCACTACATCGGGAAGTATGCCTTACATTTTTACAATTGTGAGATCTTGTACTCGTAATCTATTACGACTCCGTATATAATTACTTCCACACGAAGGCGTGCGGACGCTTCGGACACTTAGGACTTTAAAAAAAAGATTAAATAGCTCTTTAATGGCGGCCATATTTAAAAGTTTCAAAAATATATTATGACCACTAATTATTATCAAACAATCTTAGAAATCTTTTCGTGCTAATTTTCAGTCCGAGCAAAGCAAGTTACATAAATAAATTACGGCTATATCGAAAAACAGCAGAAACTTTTTACCCCAAATTTCATAATAAAAATAAAATAATAATAAAAAATAAAAAATAAATTTCATAATGGCATCATTGCCATGTCATTTTCAGTCGAATTAGAAGAATTTTGTATCTATCGCCAAAAAGTTTGTATGGTAGCCATATTGAAGAAAGGTGAAAAATAAATTTTAACCGCTAATTATTATTAAACAGTGATAAAGACCACGACATGTCCATTTTCAATCGAATTAGTGCAAATTTTTGTCTGCCGCTAAAAGAGTTTGTATGGCGGCCATATTTGAAAATGGCGAAAAACCAATTTTGATCACAAATTATTATCAAGCACTCCTAGAGGCCAATTTTCAAAGGGATCTGAGCAATTATTTTTCTGCCGCCAACGAACGCTTCTATGACGGTCATATTTGAAAACAGCGAAAAACAAATTTTGAGCACAAATTATTATCCGGTATTTCTAGTGGTCTTCACATGCCAATTTTCAGTCGAATCAGAGCAAATCTCTCTCGGCAGCTATTTTTAACGAAAAAATATGGCAGCCCTATTAAAAAATGGCGAAAAGAAATTTTTGACCCCAAATTATGATCAAGGACTCCTAAAGACCCTCGCATGCCAATTGTCAGCCGGATCGAAGCTAGTTTTTCTTGGGCCGCCATTTTGAAATCGCCATCTTGATTTTTTTTTTAATCCAGGCAGTTGACCAGTGTTACCCTCTATGACATTCCTTCGAGCACCTCCTACCTGTCTCTAATAGTTTCCGTGAAAGGAGATCTTGTTTATTTGAATTTCGAACATTTTTTTCTTCCCGCGGAAACTGACCAGGGTGTATCTCATAAAAATGCACAAAAATCCCCTCCTTGTATTATAGTTTTTGCAGGCTGTTGATCACTTGTTTACATTTTCTACACTCAGGTCTTCTCATATTTGATTCTTTGCCTTGGAGCCTATCCGCGTACAACGGTATATCTTTTTTCCCCCATATCGGGAAGTATGCGTTCTATTTCTATCAGTGAGTAAGAACTTGTAGCTTTTATTAATAATATACCTAGTAATTTATTAGGGGTATATAAACAGTAATTGGTCTACGTGAAATAAAACAGACTGGTAAAGTCCGATTTTTAATCACAGTTGAATAACAACTGTCTTTTTTGAAGGAGTAAAATGAGATTTGCAGGGTTACCTTTCATAAAAATTCAATAGCCATGTAGTAGTTGTCGACAATTTTATCGATAGACTGAAAGAAGGTTATTATTATTGCCAAAAAGTCTGAATTGTGAATTGACAATTGGCCTACTTAGGTACTAGTTTCGAAATACATTTTTATTTTCATTTACATTTTAATAACAATAGGCGGATTTGATTCTGTATATTAAATTAAAATGAAAAACTGAATTATGTCTCCCCTATGTATTTTTAATAGACAGTTCTAAATTTAGTCTAAGTATATATGAACTTACAAAAATTGACAATGCAATGAACTTGTGCCCTGTGCAGTTCTGATTCAAATAATAGGCAGGTGTGATTAAAATTTTGTATAAGCGTAACCAACATTCAGTCGATAGTCGATAAAATATTTATCAACTGCAATCACTAGCTGTTTGCAAGTGAGCAACACTTTTACGTCATGAACTGTCATTTTACTCCATCTTCGAAAAAGATAGAATATAAGTTGACACTGAAAAATAATGTTGCAATCTTTATTGCATAGTGATGTGGTAGCTACAGTTGCCAATGAACCCGGTGAAGTATTGTCAGTTAAAAAAGGTAAATATTTCTGATTATTAATATGCTAAGCATTATTTAATTTGAATTTAGTTTATTTACTATTAAATATCAGTGTTACAAAAAATATACGACACACTTAAGGATATTGTCTAAAGAATGTGCTAATTTCTTAGGATGTATTCTGGATCATATAAAATGCGGAGAACGCTAAAATAAAAATCTAAAGCGGACTATTTGAGAACAAAATATCTGACTATGCACGTAATTTTTATATAGAGAAATTTCTCTTTAAGTTCTACAGAGAACCTGCTAGATTTTTAGCTGAAGATCTATAGTTATTAAATTCTCATTTATCCCAACGATGTCGCGTTGAAATACCTCGCCTTAAGCACTCATATTTTCGGATTCGATTCCGGTAGGATCAATTTAGGAAGCTAAGCTTTCTATAATTGGTTCTGGTCTGGGTGTTAAGCAACTAAATTAACTGCGCGTGACTGACCAGTCATGCGCAGTTAATTCAGTTGCTCTGGTAATCATAGTGCGATTGTAAGGCACATTAAAAAATCCACTGAGGATCTGTTTGCATACATTGTTGAAACCAAAAGATTACAAGTAAAAAACTTTATTTTTTAAATGAAACAAGCACATACAGTTTTTAAGTTGTTTATTAAAATAATATTCGTTCAACTGAACACAAGACATGGGACCAGACCTAATAATTGAGTTTTCTAATTTGACGAATTTCTCTACAAAACATCATGAAATAATCTAGCTCATATGAGCTGTCTTTACCCTCTTAACAATAAAAACAACCTATAAAATCTATCAACATAAAAAGACCTTCAGAGGTATCGGGCATTACGAAACACCAACTGTTATTTTAATAGTTACAATTTGGCACAGATATTTTATAATAGTTAAAAATATTATCCGTGTCTCCCTGGCTATTTGAGTCCTAGATGGTTTTGGCACAGGATTTAGAAAAACATCATTAAAATACAATTAAAGTTGAACGTAAAAAGCACTGCGAAGTTAAAAAAAACAAAATTCCATATTCCTTTTTTAAATCAATTCAAAAAATAGAACTTAAAAATTAAATTTAATGCAAAATCTAATTTTATAATTAGAAAAAAACTATACAGTACCCATATTATTCTCGTTTTTTAATTTATTGCACATCGGATTTCATGCAAAATGATACGGAAGAGCAATACATGCAAAAATAAATGTCGCTTGGTAAATGAAAACCGATACTAAGTATCTCTGTGGATATTATCTTTTGTCACTATTAAGACAGGTGTAATAAAAAAAAGAATTATCAAAACAAACTAATCAGAGGGAAAGTAACCTTAATTGGTAAATAAATTCGATTTCTATATTGATGTTATTTTTGTCCGTCAAATAATACACCATATTTTTGTCAGTAAAAATAATACACTGTTGGTCTTGAGACTTGATAAATCAGGATTATTCAAAAATATTATTCCAAATCACGAGAGCACAATTTCTATTAAAAATCATGGGTTATCGATATTTCAATTAACAACATTAAAATTCTTAATAATAACAATAAAAAAGTAATTAACAAAAAGAAGTGGTGGATAAAACAAACCATCCAAGAACATTCCGAGGGCAATTTTTTTTTATAATAAGATAAATGCAAATATTTTACCAAAAATGATCTAATATTACTCAATGAATTACAAATTTTTATATACAACATTGTTTATAATGGGGTCACGTTTTGTAAAAATTGGTAAAATAATTTCGGATATGCACGTCAATGTATTCAACTAATATTTTTCTTTAAACTTCTTTTTTTATATAGTAATAATTATGTAAGTAGCATAGTACACTTACTACCTAATATGACACAGTTAGATTAAACCTATTTTATACATTTACATCATGAATGTACTTACACATATACAATAGTTGATTATGTACCAAAATGCCTTTTTGCAACAAAATCCATTAATGTATTACATCGACAAGACCTGCGGGAATAATAAAAGCACAGAGAAACTAGCGCTCCGCATTCCAGCACGAATAAAGTCAGAATTACATTGTATGATTAAATAGCCTTCCAGTTCATTATAGCAATACTAGATGGCGCTTTAACTAATTCCATATTAAGGTATTGTAAACTCGGCGAAACTGCATTTTAGTAGTAAAACATATATTAAGACGAATAATAGGCCAATATCGGTACATTACCAACGATAAATTCACTCATACAACGTTCCTATTCTAACCTACGACAGTCTAACGTGTTCCGCACAACGGAAAAACAATTTTCCCTTTGCCTCTGCCTTAAATTTTACTTTTTACATTTTTAAGCAAAGGGAAAATATTAAAACTAAAATCTCTATCGCTACATGGAACCTTATTGGTGCAGGCCATTCGATATAGGAAATAAATGTCGTTTTTTAGCACGAAAAGTCCATAAAGAGAGCAATTAGAATTATATTATGTTCAATAAAGGATGTAAAAATGTTCCTATTTGGAAATTTCCGAAAGATAAACTTGAGTGAGGCTTACTAAGGAAATTGTATGTGCTTAAAAAGTAAACCAATTGTGTATGAAAATCCGAACTGAAACCAGAAATTTCATCTTTGTAATGTAAAATTTCTAAGAGGCCACGACACTTAATATTACACGGGACGTATGGGTTTTTTATTCTTGTGTTATAACTACATTATCAACCACTGTATACCGTTCATTTTTACATCCCATATTTACCTAACAAGAAAAACAGAAGTAATAATGACTTCTAACTCTGATGTCTAAAGAAACATTTAAAAGAATTACGTCTGTAATTCCCTTTTTTGGTACACTAAAATCATGATTAATTCACGATTGTGGTAATAAATCCATGTTTTTATTATCTGAATACAAAAATTCAAAGTAAAAGTTGTTTTACCGGGGCTTTGTTTAGCTCAGGCGCTTACTAGATGGCGCTGTCAGGTACTGCTGACAATAATATCGATCAGATAATATTATTTTGACATACATAAGAACTTCGAAACGATCAAACAACTTTTGACGTACTATTTTGGTTGTGTGATCAACACGTATTAGATCTTACAATTGTTTGATGTCGAACATCGACATGATCATACACGAATCTTCCTTCGTACCTTGTAATTATGAGTTGTAGCATCTGGTGCAACGACGATGAAAACCTTGTTCCCCTCGACGCAAACGTGAATTGATCGTTTTGAAGCTCGTTAATGCTCTCTGGTAAACATCTCCTTTTCATAAACTTCATTGAAATAAAGAAAGTATTTTTGTCTTCAAATGAAAAAATGGCACACGAATGTGACTAGCTATGCAAAAATAGTTAATTTTGTATTCCGATATTAAATAATATGGACTGTTGAAATGCAAATACATGACTTGAATTAGGCTCACGATTTTGAGATCATTTTGAATGTGACTGTTTTGTATAGGCAGTTGTTTAAATACTTTGCATGATTTTTAGAAGTACCGCGCATTTGGTTGTAAAGGATGTAAGAATATTTATTGTAGGTCATAGAAAATACTTTTTTAATCAAAAATTAGATGGATGTACTTTTTAAATACTAGATTTTTAAAGTTACGAAGTGTTACTTTCAAACACAGTGCTGTTGCTACGATTACATTGTCCACAAAAGTATTTTGTTAGTGGTATAGCTTACAATGGTCTAAAAACTGTAACGTAACACATCATATCTATAAATAACGAATAAGTTGAAGACCCAATATAATACAAAACAGTATAGTACACATAAATGCGGGTACTTCCAGGCATCACACAAAAACACGTCAATATTTTCAATTTCAGAAATTGGTACCTATTTTTATCACAACCAACACGACTTGCTTCCGGATCCATTCCCAAGGTGGCGCTGCTTTACTTACTAAAACTCGACAACAGATGTCGCTACGTGTACTTTTAAAAAATTGCTATTCCGTTAAAGTTCCTTTCGTTTTATGGCAAAGTTTCAAATAATTTCTATAACGATAGACTCTGTAAAGATTTTACCTCGGCACGAAAAGTTTGTATTAAAGAAAAGAACCTCGAGCTAAAATGCGCACAGAGTGTATCGCAGAAACGCAGCACCAATCCTAAAGTCGTGTCCGTATGTCCTTGACAGGACAGGCACTGGCACTATGATACTGATATCACTTCGTGTCCGGGCCTAGCTTGGGCGGCTCTGGGCCAGGATTGGCTGGTCAGCTGTCCGACGGAGAGGGGGTTGTTAGCGTCGCGTGGATTGGTACCCACGGGGTTCCGTGGCGGGTTGGGGGGAGGGTCTGACGCAGGGGAGGCTAGGGAAGATAATGCTGATAAGCCTCCTGGACTCGACGCTGAGTTGAGAGGCGTATCAGCATCCCCGTCACTGGATGCGTCAGACAATTCCTCGAGTTTGACGTCTTCTTCAGAGCAGGGCGACTGGGGCGTCGTCATGGGCAGAGGCACTGTACCCGATGCGGCCGCCAGGGCTTCCATGTAGCGAACGCACTTCTTCTTCCGCCTAGAAAATGAGTTACATGTTAGGCGTTCCTCAGGGATCGACTTTGGGACCGTGTCTGTTTCTTTTATGTACATACTCTTAAAACCAATTATGTACTGTCATGTACTATAAAATAGAGGAAAAAAAAACAATAGTTATGTCTAAACGACCACCAGAGTGAAAAACAAAAGCTTTCTTTCCAAACATTCTTGCTTATATGTAGTATGTAAAAGAACGACACAGTCCCTTATATCCAAAAAAAAAAAAATCTACGACAACATCGAACACACAAAAAAACGACGATCTATAATTATAAACAAATGAAACCAAAATGACATGCGTGGAAAATGTTACGAAAATTAAATAGAAAACTAAAACACTCATGCCGAGTTACTTTGAAGAAGCCGTTATGAGACGAAGAGCCTACGGAACACTATCACTGACAAAACTTTGCTGCCATTGTTCAAATCATATGGAGAAGGTATCATCAACAGACATTCTTTAGGACTTGTAATTAGTTTTTGGATTTTGTCGACTCTTTTCAGGTTTTGTTATCCTTAAGATTCTTGAAGCAAAATTATTTATAGAAGTGACAAACGAAAAAGTCACCTTTCGGGAAATAGCCATTAATGTTTCTAAAATAAGTTAAAATTTGAAAACGCGAATTTTTCGTGTAATGATGCATTGCTTTCAAATTGCGACGTGCAATAAATATCTCTCACATTACATCAACGTGATAATATTTCTAAAATGAAGGATGGTGATTGTTCATTTTCGGAAACCACGCTGTAAACAGTAAAAAAGAATGCTTAAAATTTGACTATAATACTCTCAAAATTTTTTATAAAAATACAAATAATGTTACTAATTAGGAACATTAAAGTTAATGGTTGTTTGTAAAATTGAACGTAGTTAGCCGAGTTTGCCAGTGAATAGTATGCCTTTAACAAAGCTAAATCGAACTCCTAAAATCAAAGATAACAAAACATACTTCAACGTAGACACAATCCTACAGTCAGGCGTTCACGACACTCATACATTCAAAGATGAAAATCTTAGAAATGAGAATCCCTTTTAGGCTTTTAATTTTGTTCACAGATTGTATTTGATAAAGGATAATAATAATCTTGCTATACGATCAGAAGAAGACAGAAACGGGAACGTTTTGAAAGTTCAAAAAGAAAAACTATTCGTTTATAAATAATGTATTTTTTTTCTTTACTGTCGAAAATAAGAAAGTTGGTATCAATACATATGAAAGTTAATTAACGAGTGACACAAATGTAGAAGTAACTAAGGTATATATAATAAACAGTAAATAAATGTAACATCATAATGTCTAAAAGAAATTCTCAGTAAACCCACACTTCAGTTGACCAACTGACCGTAGCTCCGTCGGCGGTGGGCAAGCACTAGAGGTTCACGTAAGTTGGCTCTTGGGGGGGACTGCCGACCAGACTGGCCGCGGGGAGGGGGGTTGCGGGCTCTGGTCGGAGCAGGCCGAGCCCGGAGACCATGACGCTACTTGACTCAGGACTAAGGTAGTATCAGATAATATAAATAGTCAAGAAGACCAAGAAGTGATGGAAGAAAATGACATTTGAATCGTAAACGCAAAATATAAAAAAGGACGGGAAAATAAGATAAAAACAAATATGGATAAGATGAAAAATAAAGACAAATAAGGATACGTTGTGAGTGCAGGATATACAGATAAAAGTGGCAGAGGTGAAGTAAATAGTTGTGATAATAAAGCAGAAACATTAAAATAGGTAAAAGTAAACAAAATTTTGAAAAAGGATAGAGGATCGAAATAGAAACATTTTATTTCATTTCACATTAATAATCAAGAGATGTAAATAGTACGTGTAGAGTCAAGTAACGTTTTGGCATGTTAATTAAAAAAGATAATCGTTTCAAAAAAGCAAAAGGAGTAAAACATGTCACCAATAGTGCCCGCAGAAATCAGCATCAGATCCGTCAGAAGCGGCAATCATGAGTAGAAAAAACATATTGATAAGAATAATGTACCATCATTTATAACAGTATAATCTATGACTAAAGGAGCGAGCATTTCAGAAAATGTGTCAAGATTTTTTTGAAAGCTTTTTTTTCGACAAATGATTGCCCTTCCGAATGCTATAATCTAATCTCCTAATCGCTACACACTGTTGAGTCTACTTTCAAAAAAATCTACTTTCTTATTTCTTTGTGAAAAGACACATTTTCTGATTGCCGCGCTCATAACTTTATACTTATAAAAATAACCTTATGTTTTATAAAAAGAGCACTGCGTAACAAAAATTGCAATTTTTGATATATAAAATATAAAAAAAAACACAACATATAGGTAATACAGTTTACGTAATAAAAGAAAGAAAAAATTTACGACTGGGCTCGTTGCACAGGAAATAAAGACTAAACAGCCAAGTCTTTCCACATAGAAACAATTATATATGTCAACAATAGTATAAATTCAGTTGGTTGTTTTTTATAGACGGCATAAGCGAAAAATAAATTTAAAAAAAAATATTAGGAATTTTACTAACCTGCACGGTTTGCACCATTGGTTCTGTTGGTCGAGGCCGTATCGCGCTCGACATTTCTTCAAATTATTTCCTGAAAGTATTGGTAGAACAATTTAGAATCTATTCAGTGCGATTTCTTCTTCACAAATCTACATTTATTTTTTGTAGAGTTAACACTTCTTTTTTTTTGAAATTTTTAAACCGTTTTCGTTAAATTATAATTTACAAATCTGCAAAATAATTTAATAAAATTTGTCTTTGAATTTATTGAAAATAAAATATGAATCCGAGTAAATCCCACTTCTTTTTTTAAATTAAAAATCGTCAAAATTATAAATACGAAAATACGTAATTAATGTAAAAGCTGAAATAAATTTACTGGAAATCATATTTGAAGCTCCTTAAAATAATTTTGCTAACACTACGAACAAGCGTCATGCACCAACCCCCTCGAAAACATGTTAGTAAGTACCACATGCAAGGGATAGGATTTGGAAATGAATGGGCAACAACGGAAAAGACATTGGTTTTAAATAAAACATACTACACGCTTCCAAAAATAAAACTAGCTACACTAATATTGCTTCGAAAAATAAAAACCAAATCATGACTCATAAGCAAATTGAAGCAGAATAGGTTCTTCGGAATCAAAATAAATAAGTTCATTTGGCCAGTATCATTAAATAAACACCGCAGACACAAGAAGCATCGGTGTCACTATCTCCTGCGAAGGCTTCCTCAGATCCTCTCTCTTGGGTGAATCGAGACGTGGCAGCTCCTTGTCATGCATTCAGTGTCTGTCGCCACTTCGGCGCAGTGCGCAGATAGGAAGGCTGTCCCAGCCGATATCGTAAACTATCCCGCCGCAATAAACATGCACGCTCCCCGTACGTAAGCTCTGGAGCAGAACGGAACAAAAACCGGGACAACCTTCGAAGGAGTCCACTTGAGGTGATAGCGAAAAAAATAAATAAATGCGATAAATATTTAAATAAAAAAATATTGTAAAAAACTACAACCTTGTACCCCTTCAACCATAGACATTAGGCAATGTGACGCCAGAACAGGCGTTGGTTCGGAGTTCAAAATAATTGATCTTTTAGAGGACGACGGGTGCGGGATGTGTGCGGGAGGGGAGCGATGAGCGTCTCCGGACAACGGGCTTAATCCTTCATTAATTGACCTCATTTTTTTAATGAGTGACAACACGAGACGCCCATTGCTCTGTGTGGGTGTATGGGAACCGTGACCGAAATTTGCATTCCACCTGATTGTACGTAGAACTCACTACTGCGCTTAAAATAAAGTAAGCTGCCTTGCGTATACACTAGCTTGCTTTGCGAAGCAATACTAGCCGAGTTTAAGTGGCAGGTATTAAAGCATGACCTAAGAAAACAAGACATGTGTTCAGATTCCATTTCTTCGTCCAAAAAATTTGTTTAAAGAAAAAGAGTCCGGTATTGAAGTATAAGTCCACTGGTCTTGTTTTGTCAGGGCATGTTTGGTCACAGGAATTAGGGATAGGATGAGGATGAAGGCGTCATATCGATGGAGTCAAGGCAGTACCTCCATCGGTTGTCTCCTGTTTTCGTTTCCTCTTCTTGCCCCTTTGCGTATTAGCCCTAGACGACCAATCGGGATATAGCTGCATATGGAGCTGGCGTTCTCGCCGGGCCAGCTCGTAATACTTGGCTTGTTCCTCGCGACCAAGCGCGTGCCACTGAGCCGCGTAATATGGAAACAAAAGAGAAATGCACATCGACGCTGTTCTCCCGTCCAGAACCTACCGCTAGCGCCCCTAACAACTACACGTGGCGTACTATCGATCCATAATTCCGATAGCTATCAAAATCACCACAAATGTCCAGCTAATCATCCAAAAAATTTTGACTAATGAATTCACCGACGATTACACGACCAAACTCGACAAAACTCAATTTCCGGTAGTTAATTTTGTTAGTTATCGATATTATGCGATATCAAATCGATAGTTGACGATTGCGTGTGAACGATCGACAAACTATGAGGTCCGCAACACTAGCCCCTAACGCTGGTGCTAGAAAAACAGCCCCGAAAAATTTTGATCCTACGGAATGAAATTGGCCAATTGTGACGTTCCTCACAGAACCTATTCTGCGGTCGGTATCGGAGTCGCGCGTTGTCTAGACATATAACAAACCAATATAGTTTCCGGGGGTGTAGGGTGTACAGTACACGGTCACTGGACGACTACAGTACACAGAACACGCAACAGCTAGCCGGCGCGGGGCGGCTCGTGGCCTGTGGCCAACTCTGAGACTGGACTCGAGGCTAGGCCGCCGCGCGCCGGGCCCGGTCGTGAGCAACGCGCCCAGCCGCTTTTCTAGCACAGCCACCGACGGCGCCGCAGCACGGAAAACAGTTGAGTAACACGCACACACACTCACATACGGGAACGGGTCGTTAACAAGCCGTGTTAATCGGGACCTGGACCGAAGCTACGTCCGATGTTAGTGGGTGCCGGGGGCTCCGGTGCCAGGGGGGAGCGGGACCTTGCCGGGGGGGAGGGGGGACAGTGTGGGTGAAGCGAGTGTACAGAAGCGTCGACGTGCCCCAGCCCGCGACGTTGCCCGTTCTAGTACCTCCCAACTCAGCGGGACTTCGATCCTTTTTCCGTTTTTTCTTTTTGGAACCGTAACCGTAGTTGTCGCGGGCGCTCCAGCCAGGGTAAAGTTGCATGTGGAGTTGTCTCTCCTGTCTCGCTTTCTCATAGTACTTTGCTTGCTCCTCGCGACTCAACGAATGCCACTGTGTTACGTAGAGAGCGTTACCAACATACGTCCTCGACACACTAGCATTATAATTAACACTCATAACTGCTTTTGGTTTGACAGAAAGAGATGGTGCATTCCTATTGTTGTTAAAACTAAATCTTATTTACATAATTTGAGCACGATGACGTCATGATTACAAAACATGAACAATTTTCATTCCATCTCTTTCTCTCCCAAATATGCACCAACATCGTGTTTTTAATTAAGACCATTGTATATGTAATCCATGAATAAGACAGAGTTACTCTTGTTAGGAATGGAACCACGTTCTCGGAAGTCGGGTAGCGGGTTCGGTTCCCGGTAGCGGCGGTCAATTGCTTATTATTCAATACATTATAGCACTGATCGCTTTAATGGACTAAGCATATACTGTACCTGGGGAATAATTGGAGCGCTCATAAGCATTGATGCCAAAAATTAAACCACATAACAAGGTAATGCTTACGCGTAATCATAGCTTAGAGGCTCAGCAGCGCATATAGCTTGTGAAATTGACCTCAAACTGAGGCTGTCATTATTTTGTCATCTGTTAATGGTTGGTAATTACTTTGCGTTGTTTAATGTAATGTTATCAAAAGTGTAGGTACCATACGTTACATATATTTTGAAGTTTATTTTAACAAAGTGTCTGTAAATTCACGGTTTGTTTAATATTATCTTTAATAGTACTGCTGGAGGGTAGTAATTTAAAAAGAAAAACTTAATGATGGAATAAATCGCCCCGCCCTGCCGTCGGACTTTTTTGTCATAACCGTCGTAAGACGTACGACACTTGCTCAGCTTTCGATACATTAATGTTTTCTACTAATCGTCGTAGGCCTACCATTCTAGAACAAGGTCGATACAAGCTGCACCTCAAATATGAAGCAAAAAAGAAAACACGTTTATCCTTAAAAACTTTGTCTAATTCTGGTTAGGACAATTAGTCAAGAGAAGGACGAAATAACGTAGTGTTCCGAAATGGGCTTTGCCCATGTTAAAGATCGAAAAGTTAATGAAATTTGAACTGTAATAATATAAGAAGAGTCTTAAAGTTTGGAAGTAAAGTTGTGCAAGTGAAGTTATGAAAAATATTTTAAAGCGCACTCCATAATATCCCTCAGTAATTATTATGTCATTCAGTATGTTTCTCTTTACGAGTTAGAATATAACAAACATTCCTTACAAGATTAACAGTCAAATTATCAGCATTTGTGGTTAAACACCTCAGACTAAACTGTTAACAATTAAATTAATTAATTAAAAATGAAATATATAAAAAAAAGATAAATCATAATAAATGTAAACATATCTTCCTTGAAGGTTAAAAAAATATTCACTGTCTAGATACATAAACAAAACAATGTTTTAAAATATTATTGAAGATTTGAACAATGTTTAAACTTTCGTTTTACTTAGACAGGTAAGCGAAAGTTTAGCTTTGCCATTATTTATTTAAAAGACCGAAATGTTGTTTTGTTTTAGAGGTAAAATGTTAGCACTAAGAACAACTAATATACCTATTGGTGTATCCATTCGAAATATATTTTTTAAATTAATTCGTTTGTCCTATTAACTAAACATTTTACCTCAAGAAACAATCGACGAACATACCTGTTTACCTTAATTTATAAAAATTACAAATTAAATTTCGAACTCACCCGTCGTCCTAATATTTGGTTGATGGCAGCAGATTCTTTGAGCGTGCATTCGGCCACCACCTTCGCTCTCATTTCCTTCATATAAAGCATGAAGGCGTTTAAAGGTTTCTTTATGTGGGGCTTCTTATTTGCCTCCTTGTTGTTTGAGTTTGACGAGCTCTCTGCCGGCTTGTCGCTCGTTGAACTGCTGTTGCCTTTTTCTAGTGACCTGGAGATAATGAAAAAACAAATATGAAGCTAACGGAAAACAGTTATTATCTGTTCGCAATGAGTATGTATCAGTGTGTACAATTAATTTATAATATCAAGTGACGGGACGATCAATTCGTGCGCCTACTGGTAAACTACACGCCTGTCCAGAACAGTTGCAGTGGCACTCAGAGCTTTAAATCGCAAAGATCTGAGGGGTACTGCCACTGCAATATAAGTTCATAAGTCCCATGGGCCTGTAATTTCACCAGCACGCTTACACTAACATTACTGCTTGGCGGTAGAAATAAGTAAGGTGGCAGTAGGTACTTTCCTGGACGAATTATTTAGAAGGAGCTCTACCGATACTAACGCTATTTATAGACAAGTTTAAATTTTCTGCTATAGTAGCCATTTACTTTACAACAACGTGATTGGCGAACATGCACAGTACAGAGCACGTCTCTCTTACAATTTAAGATTTGAATGCAACACTATGACTCTTACTCTTTAGAGTATGTAATTATTTATTTCATAGTTATCATTACACAACAGGCCTTGGCATATTAGCCTTATCACACGTCCACAACATTAGCACGAGTGTTAGCTCCGTAGCTGAGCTAGAAGGAATATTTAAAAAGCCAAATCAGGAACACGGCTCGGACTACTTATTTCACTTTCCGGAATTGAAACTCTGAGTCTATTCTTTCCATAAAACAGTATTCAAATAATGAATGAATTGACTGGGAAACCCAAGAGCTTGAATCTTGCCTAACACATACCCATAGAAAGTAGAAATGTCGTTAGCATTTGGGGCACCCAATTTTAGCCATTTGTTGTACTTTTTACGTTTGTATTTTTATTTTTTCTTTTTGTCATACCAAGTGATGGAACGAACAAGTCGTGGGTCTAGTGGTAAGCAACACGCCAGTCCATAACAGTTGCAGTGCCACTCAAGAGCTTTAAGTCACAAAGATCTTAGGGGCACAGCCACTGCGCTCGCCACCCTGAGACATAAGTTGACAAGTTCCATATGCCCGCAATTTCACCAGCACCTTTTCAACAGCACCAGCCATTCCAAACCGGAACACAATAATGCTCACATTCCTGCTTGGCAGAAATAGCTAAGGTGGCAGTACTTTCCTGGACGAACTCTTTCACAAGGAGAGCTACTAAAATAAACTGCGTACAATATAAACTTCATATTTTATTTCTAAATTAATAAATATCTCACTGTGATAAAATTTTAAAATGGTTACATCGTTACTAAAAAAAAGAATTAATTAATTCCATTGTTTCTTATGGAATTAATACGAAATTAGTTTTTCAAGGACGGAAGCAATTGATATCGAATAAAACTACTCCTATCGGAAATCAAATTCAAATACAGATTTGTAGCAACAGATTCCAAGCAATAGTAACGAGTTAGGTGTTAACGACGTAGACAGACGGACGACTATAAACAAGCGAGCGTCCGGTTCGAAATAGACGCCCGTATCCGGCGCAAGCGCACGCTGACCGAATACCGGATTTAGAACGATATAAAAAAAAATTATACAACTATTATGTATAAATATTATCTGGTGTTCAGTACCAACATCATCGGTACTTTTATGTGAACATTATAAGGGTGGAAACTACTACATCTATTTCCACCTAACAATATCAACCTAATACAGATAAAACTATTTCTCAAATAGATAATGTACGACGTGGTTCTATCGATGAGTCATCAACAACCCATGTATACGTCTCAGTGATGGGCACAGGTCTTCTCTTAGGCGACGGATGGTGACGCGGGCCTAAGTGCGCTTGACGACATCACAGATTTTTCCAGCCGAAATTCTAAAAATATCGCCGAAAAGCTCATGGTAAATTTCGCAAATACCTTCCGAAAAAGTCGGAGATGCGATGCCCGGATTCGAACTCACGGCCTCTGCTTGACAAGTTGTAGGTCAAACCAATATGCTACCATGTTTTATCGATGAGTAACCAAGACCATAGTGTAGTCACACGGTTTATTGAACAACTTACACAATTGTGTATTAAGTACATAGTTGGAGTCGTTGAAAAGTCCCAAAACAGTTTTATTTGCCAGCAGTGACTGTAGCTTGTTAACTCTTTCTTTCTGGGAAAACATTATGTTTATAACAAAAAATATGATCTAGCCCTTAAACGACATTGGTTAACGATAATAAACAAGCTGCAAGTGGCGCTGTTGACCGCTTGCAGATAAAAATAGCTATTAAAGTGATAAGTTGTCAACTTTCCTGATAGTACAAAAGTAAGAAGATAAAATATAGATTCATAAAAGATATATCATAGAAAAGGCGTTAATAAAAAGAACAGTTAAGTTTTGAACTTCAATAGTATTATAAAAAGTTGTCAAAAATATATCAATATCACAAAAAAAAAAACACAAAACTATACAAAAACATTCCCTGAATCCATGTCTGGTCAAGCGATATCGTATTAAAGACAGTAACTGTACAGTTGAAATCTAATTCTTCGCAATAAGGTTGAGAATGTAAAATATAACAATGTGCATTTGAAAAGTTTTAGGTAGTCACCAGATATCGGCTTGGACGAAACGGACAACGTTTTTTACGCTCTTTAGGAAATTTTTGTAATGTACCTTCGAGTTTGTATGAACATTGCCACACTGGGCGCGGTGCGGTACCGAACGCTATGACAAACAGGCGGACCGGGTGCGGGGCGGATCCGAGGCGAAGTTGCGAATTGTATACCATTAAATTCTATGCAACCGTTCACACAGAACGGTAGCAGCGGGCGCGTTTAGGGAGAGGTGCTTTAGCGGGGTTTCACGTTATATTTGTGTGTTTTTACTGAGTGCCTGTGTGTGTTGCTTCCGTAACGCTAATAAAAGCAGAAAATTTTCTTGATCATTATCCAACAGCGACGTGGTTTATTCTTTGAAATATATGTTGAAACTTTTGGTATCACACTGGCCGCCTTCGGGCCGCTATTCCGCCGCTAAGTATCATTTTTCTGAGCCTGAGGTTAAGGGTGCTGGTGAAATTGCAGGTACGAGTCTGGTCAACTTCAAGCTGTTTCAGGGTGACGGGAGTAGCCGCAATGTTCCTCAGGTCTTTGCGGTTTAAAGCTCTGAGTGGCACAATTGCTATGGTCATTTAACATTGTAAAACAAACCGATTTCGTGTCTAAAAGCGTAGTGTCTTCCTTAAGCGTCGCGTAGGGTGGGACTCTACATCAAGCATGCACACACATACGGGTGCGATGCTGTTGCGTGTTGTCGAGTGAGAGATAGCCTTTAAGCGTTCGCTTAAACGGCTTGCGGTGGCGATCATTTTATTAGAGAGTGAATGAGAACAAGATTTACGGCATTGCCAAAGCTTCCGCGACTCTTGAAACGGTGCTTTAAACATTTTAAGTTTATTGTCTTATTATAGTAAAATAAATAACAAATAGGTACAGTCAAGATCTCATGCAAGCTTCACAGCGAGACGGGATACATTAAGAGTATTTTAATTGAAAAGTCGTATTACAAAAATACTGCGTGTCAGATACAGATGTATGGAAAGACGACTTGACTCTAGATTCCACACAAATATGATTCAAAGTGTAATCCATAGCATTTCAGTTCATTTGAAAAGAGAAATCCCTATAGTGTCTTCATCGTTCTTCTCAGGGAAGGAAGTCGGTACAGTGAACGAACAGTAGCTTAAAAAATTACATTTTGAATTCTAAATTAATTTTACTATGGAATAAATGATTCCTTTTTTTGTAATACCAAGTAACGGGACGAAGTCGAGCGGCTGGTGGTAAGCGACACGCCTGTCCACAACAGTTGCAATGCTACTCAGAGCTTTAAATCACAAATATCTAAGACATAGAGTTGTCATCTTATGTCTAGACACCCTGAGACATAAGTTAACAAGTCCCATGTGCCTGTAATTTTACCACAACCCTCCAAAGCCCAAACGCAGTAATGCTCACATTACTGCTTGGCGGCAGAAATAGATACGGCGGTAGTACTTCCTTCAATGAATTATTTCACAAGACGCTTTACTGCTAATAAACTTCGCCACTTTGGATCGCTCTTATCGTAAGTGAGTTGAACGTTAATCTTAAACGACATACTCTTGACTCTGTAATCATACTTCTTTAATTTTTTTGAAATGAGTGTTTATAATTTTAAAATATGTTGTTTTTTCTAATTTATGTTATAAGTATTTGAAATTATGATGTTTTATTGTAATTCATAATTAATGTTCTGGACTGTATTGTTTTATTGTAATTCATAATTAATGTTCTGGAGACACCTGTTGTATAGAAGTTGCCAGTATCAAAATAAATATAACATCAGTATGCTCGATCAAATATTATGCATACAGATTATATTGAAAGCATATTGTCTATTTGCTAATTGATTTCAAACAGTTGAAATGAGAAGAATATTTAAATATTTACTGTATATTTTTCTTAATCATAATGGTTTAGTACATTTTCGACCTTATGGCCTCTTCTTACAAAGAAGCCTGTGCTGAAAAGTCGAACATATGGTGGTTGTAAATAAAATTCACTTTAGGCGCAACATAAACAATCTTTCTTTAAAAAATATCGAACAAGAAGTACTGCTCAGCACAAAAAAGTTTAAATTCAAAATACTTTTCTAGACGATTTAATAAAACTCGATTCGAAACAGTAAATTATTGATGCTATATCATCATCATTACGAACTAAAAAAATAACAAAAGCCAGCTGAAAAACGATTTCCTCTTACAAGAGATGGCCATTCAAAAATAGCACCAATAAAATACAGTGGAAGTGACAGCATATTCATCTAATAAAGTTTTATGTGGCTTTATTCAAGGAATTGGTTTGAAATGAAGCTTGGATATACGACTTCCTTCGACGTTAAAAATGGGAAAAGATAAAAAAAGAAGAAAAAAAAGAAAAAAGATGGAAATCCGTTCACAATACGCGTACGCTTCCAAACGAGGTATTCACGGCGCACGCTGTAATTATGCGCTATGT